CTACAGAAACTTCTGTAGTATCCTGCCATGCCCAGGAAGCGTCGGGAGTTCTCTCTTTGTCTGAGGTATAGGAAAGTTAAAGATGGCACTAACTTTAGCTCCTATCGGTCTTACGGTACCCTGGCCTACTTCCTTTCCTAAATATCGAAACGTTTATCACATTTAGCGAGGTTTAGAGTTAAATTAGCTTCTTTAAATCTAGTGAACACTTCTGCTAAGGTCTTCAAATGACTATCCCAGGTCTCAGAATAACACACAACATCGTCAAGATAGGCTTCACAATTGTTCACATTGGAGAGTACCTTCCACATTAAACGTTGAAGCGTTGCCGGAGCATTTCGAAGTCCGAAAGCTAACACCTTATACTGCAGGAAGGCATCTGGAGTAGCGAATGCTGAAATTTCTGAGGCACGTTCTGTAAGTGGCACTTGCCAATAACCCTTGAGCAAGTTTAACTTGGTTACAAACTTAGATCTTCCAATTCTGTCAATACAATCTTCTATTCGTGGAAGTGGATAGGAATCTGCTTTGGTGACTTGATTAACCTTTCTGTAGTCTGTGCAGAAACGTGAGGACCCATCAGATTTAGGAACCAGCAAGCAGGGTGAGCACCAGGGACAAGAGCTAGGCACAGCTAAACCATGCAGTCTGTTTCACGTTTGACAGGGTTAATGCGATAAGCATATTGCTTGATTGGACAATGATCAGCAACATCAATGTCATGTTTTAACACAGAAGTTACAGTAGATGCGTCAGAGAAAATTGATGAAAATTTTGCAATTAACTGTAACAATTCACTTCGAGATGACTCCGATAAATGGGAGAGTCTTGAACTTGAAGTGGCAAGGGTTTCTGAGTTTTGTAAACAGGCACCGGATATGGCAGCACTGCCCAAACTAAGATCATCCACACATGGAGAATCAACAGACAAAACAACTTCCACAGAAACTGCTACAAAGGGAGAAGTTGTTGAGGCAGGTCAAGAATTTTTAAATTCCGAGCGGGAAACAAATGACTTCAACATGTTTATGTGGCAAACATGGGACTTTCGGTGCCTCCCAGGAGGTCGTACAACATAAAGGTGTATCTCAATAAATTAGAATGTCGTGGA